GTATGCCGTCCAGTCGCGAGATTCGCCCAACAGCAACCTCCCCGGCTACCACCAATTCGTCGTCGAGTGCGCCTATCCTCCTCTGCTGCTCCCCCCCCCCCACCATACTGATGCCTACTCGCGGCGACTCGGCCTCCACCCATGGCAGATCCGGCACCACCATTCACATGACCGGCCTCCCGGCCTCCCACATGCCGTTCCTCTTCACCCACATCTTCAAGGAAAACCAAGCCGTACGCGCCCGGGACGACCTTTCCCCTGCTCACCTGCCGCCACGCGCCGCCCCTCTGTCGCGCGAGGCTCACTCACACGGCCCTTCCGATGCTCTTCCCGTGTCTTGGCCGCCACCAGACGGTCCTGCATGCACGCCCGGTTGACGGGATCAGCTGCCTGCGCTTCGTTCAGTCCTACTACATCTTCATGGTGGCCCGGGTGCAAGTGTGCGAGGCGGACCAAACCTGTCGCCAGGGCGGCTGCGCCTGCGCCTCGACGCACACGATGACCCAGGGCCAGTGTGTCCGTGCGTGCTGTGCCGTCCTCCCCCCTCCCCCGCCGGCCCGCTGTTCCCTTGGTCCCTCCTCGCCCCCCTCACCCGAGCCAGCATGCCCCCGCCCCCCGCCCCCGCCCCGTGCCTTGTGCCCACACACGTATGCACAGGCTCCTCGTGCAGCCCGGACGAGCTGGAGTCCGACGGGGCCCTATGGAACCAGGTCCCCGTGGGCCAGGATGCTGTGCGCGCCTGCCCGTCGCTGCATACCGGCAGCATCCGCCGGGCATGCACCCCCAACGGCTGGGGGCCCATCGTGGACACCTGCGAGCGTGCGTGCACCCGCTCCTCTCCGCCCCCCAGTGAGGCCCCCCCCCCCCCCCCCGGTCGCCTGTCTCCCTCTGACTGTTTGTGTTTCCCCCTTTCCGCACATATGTCTCTCGCTCCCCCCCCTGCCCCCCCCTCCTGCCCCGCGCGCGCTTCGCCATGTGCAGTCGTCGTCTGCCTGGCATACGACTCCCCGGAGTATGGCACATTCCCCCAAACCCCGGTCGGCCAGTCCAACAACGGGTCCTGCCCCATCGGGCACTACGGCACCGGGCGCATGGCCTGCCTGCGCGGCGGCGTGTGGGACACGGACAACGCCACGGGCACCGCCTGCCGGCCGTTCTTCTGCCGGCCGAGCGTCGACCCGGTGTATGGGATCGAGCGGCCGGACACGCCGGCCGGCGGGTACGGCGTGTGCCGCTGCCCGCTGGGCTTCCTCGGGGCCCCGCTGCTGGCCTGCCTGGCGCAGGACACCTGGGCCGAGCGCTACCTCGACCCGGAGACCCATGTGCCGGCGGAGCCGGCGGCCCTCTGCCGGGCCACCGCCATCCCGCCCGGCGAGCCGGACTCCGCCTTCGCGCAGGTGACCCACCTGTCCACCGACAGCGAGATCACCATCTCCTGGACCCCGGCCGCCGGGGCCGACCCCGCGGCGCCGATCAGCGTGCAGATGGCCAGCCCCGGGCAGATCACCTTCGAGGAGGTGGCCCTCCAGCCGCCCGGCCAGACCGCGGTCCGCATCGCCGACCTGCCGGCGGCCAGGCAGTTTGTTGTGCGCCTGGTGCCGGGCGAGGGCGCGCCGGCTTCCGCCTCCGCCTCGGCTTCTACGTCTGCTTCCGCCGCCGCCGCCGCCGCCGCCGCCGCCGCCGCCGCCCCCGCGACCGGCCTCACCCAGGAGCTCATTTGGACGCGGCCGCGGGGCCCCGGCCAGCTGGTCGGCACGGTGACCACCAGCAGCCGGCTGCTGTCCTTCGAGTGGGAGCCCTCGCCCGATGCCAGCACCTATCGGGTGCAGCTGTACGACAGCCCGGACCCGGCCAGCCGGACCCTCATCGACCAGGTGACCACCAACGAGCCGGCCGTGGTCGTGCGCCACACCCTGGCCCCGACGACCACGGTGGAGGTGGAGGTGCGCGCGGTGCACCCGGCGGCCGGGGTCAGCTCCGGGGTGCTGAGCTTCACGGCGCGCACGCCCACCGGCGCGGCCACCCGGGCCACGGCCATCGCCGTGCCCATCGCCGTGGTGGTGCTCCTGCTGCTGGGGCTCCTGCTGGCGGTGTTCTTCCTGTACTGGCGCCCGCGCCGGCAGAAAGAGCTCGAGCAGCTGGAGCTCCACCGGCGCTCGACCATCTTCAATGCCACCTACACCGACACCGAGGCCACGGTGCTGAACACCTGCGAGTCGGTGTCGGTCCCGGGCTTCCTGGAGCTGAATGTCGACGGGGCGCAGCAGGTCCAGCAGCTGGAGCCCATCGGCCGCGGGGGCGCCGGCACCGTGTACCGCGGCCGGCTGCTGGACCCGAATGCCGTGGCCCGGGCCGGGTCCGAGATCGTGGCCATCAAGCATGTGGCCGGCCAGGCCAGCCGCTCGGAGCACCAGAACAACGACCGCTTCCGCCAGGAGGTGGCCCTGCTCTGGTCGCTGGCCTTCAAGGACTCGGTGGTCCGGCTGATTGGCTTCACCTCCCGGCCGCGGACCATCGTCACGCACCTGTACGACAGCGACCTGCAATCGTACCTGCACAAGCCGGAGGCCCTGGCCGCCGGGCTCTTCCGGCAGCTGGGCCGCTCGCCGCCGGGCAACCGCCAGCAGGCCGGGCTCCTGTCCCCGGACGAGGTGTGCCACTTTGTGTCGCGCATTGGCCTGGCCGTGCGCGACATGCACTCGGTCGGCATCGCCCACCGGGACATCAAGAGCGCCAACATCCTGCTCCGGGCCACGCGCCTGCCCTCGCCGGACGCCGAGCCGGGCTCCGCCGCGGCGGTGGCCCTCTTCGAGCCGGCCATCTGCGACTTTGGCCTGGCTCGCACCGAGTGCGTGTCGGGGGCTTGGTCCTTTCGCCCTTTTTTTTTTTTTCTTTTTCGCCCCCCCCCCTCGCTTCCTGCCCCCCGCGCTGCATTTTTCCCCTCCCCCCGTCT